TTGAAGAATCCAGCTGATTAATGTGTGTCTAGAGGAACTTAACTCCCTCCAGGCTGTGTGGACATGGTAACCACACACATGTTGTGGCTGATGTTCCTAAGGAACTGGGCAAAAGGATGCAAGGAGGCCTATTATCCTGAAACTCACAGCTGGGCTGTTCTTTAGCTCTGGGGTCTGGTGGGAATAGTCTCCATTTAGATCTTATAAGCAGCTCAAATTTTACTTGTGCATATTGATGTTATTTGATATGAGAAAGCTTATTAGCTTGTCACATTCTCAGATGGTATAACTGTGAACTTTTCATGCACCAAGAGAGCATAAGGCCTGATTCTAAGAGGATTCTACCTTGATTCTATGGTGTTGTGGGTGGTTTTAGTGGATTGCCATGTATGTAGTTGCTAAGGTGTTCTGGCTTCCCTAGTGGTTAGAGTCCAGTGCATGTCTTTTTGATATTCTAGTCTAGATGAGACTCGGTCCACTTTTAAAGTGATGGGATTTTTACCCACCACACACAGATTGCAAGTCAGATCACGTAAAAAAGTAAAAGCACACATCACCAAAACAATCTGCATGATTTTACACATCATTCATGTCTGTAGCACAAATTGAGTGAGAAATGAGAAACAGTATATAATCACAGTGAATGTAGGCTTCTACGACACCACATTCACTGGTTCCATTGTACTCACATGGACAATGAAGAGACAAGCTTAACATTCTGTGTTAAAGGTGCAGCAGGAGATCTAGGAAAATGCTAACTTTAGCCTGATAGCACTGAAAGCGAACGTACCACCCTCCCTGCAATCGCCGTCCAAAGCCACGCCCCCTGAATGCATATACGCTCACAGACCAGAATACCGGAATACCAGAGACAACATTACTACAATAGGCTACATCAGCAGTTCCCAAATCCAGTACTCGCGCATTAAAGTGTGGACTGGAATTGTGAACCACTGGTGTCATTCACCTGTGAGAAAACTTTAAAAGTACTATACCAGGAAGGAAGATCGGGTTGTTGATGTTTGTCTGCCATTCTCACTCTGTCTGCACAGCGTGTGTGAACGCGCTGATAACGTATCCTGTCTGCGCAAACCGGGTACGCAGAGGTATGCTAATACATACGTTGACAGGCAGGTAGGAAAGCCAATTAAAACGCTCTGACCGAGCGTTTTGATTGGAAAAACATTTATTGGTCCTACGCCTTCCACAGAATATATAAATACAGATAAATACATCGAGACCACTAAACTTAATGATTGCTATCGGGATGTGAAGAGACTTTCAACCAGCATAACAAAAAATGTTTTCTGAAGACAATCACCTATTGCACCTTTAAGACTATATCTGCTGTTATAGTATAGTGGGCAGATTACAGCCTTCTCAGGGAGACTGTGTTTCAACTCCTGCCCAAGAGTGTCCCCATCAGTGAAGGAAGTTTCTCTGCCCCAGGGTCACAAGATCTGAAAACATCTGAAAACTGAAACATCCGTTGCTATGGATGGTCAACAGAGCTGGGTAGTAACGGATTATATGTAATCTGGATTATGTAATGAGACATAATCAGACATTTTACAGAGTAAACTGTTTTAAAATACTTGTAATCAGATTGCAGTTACTTTTTTATGGTTTACATGATTACAGTACATATTATTCACACAATGGCAGTATATGTTGTTCACAATTTATTGATCCTCATTTTTTTAAACTTTTATATTTTTCATAATAAACCTGCCACTTATCCGTGATGCTTCGAGTTTTTTTGGCAGAGAGGGGGAGGGGGTGTGGAATCGCGCACAGAAATCAGCAGCAAGGCATGATGGAAAATGAAGCGGCACTCAGCGTTTGACCAATGGATGCACAGACATCATTTCAATTATTAAAGAAAGACATGGAAAAAACATCACGGTTCAATGTAAACTCTGCCTTCCAAAGATTAAATTGCTGTCCACTGCATCAGATTCCACGTCGAATCTAAAGAAGTTTTTACAAGGTAAGCTGCTTTTTCTAAACAACATTACATATCTAATCAACTCTTGACAAATGCATAATTATTATTTGAAATTGCTGGTTTGTGTGTCATAACTGTCACCACTTCTTTGGTGGACTTTGGTTCTTTAAACTCATTTTATTTACAATTTAATTCACACATAGGCCTACGTCAAACCGATTCATTTTAAGTTAAGTTTTAGTTTTGTAAATTGGTTTTGTTCTTCACTTCAGACATGTACATGAATGCACTGTACTTTTTTAAGACTGTATTTGTGGCATTGATTAACAAATATAACTGGTCTCATCTATTAACACACGGGGAAGGGGACGGTAACGGCGAAATTGCTTGAGTACGACTAGAGCGACCCAAGCAGCTGTCCATAATTCTAGAAACTCTCCCACAAGAAATGCGTAGGGCCCATCACTCAACTGTCACTGTTGATGCAGTCGAGTCCATTGCAAACATGAAACTTCTAGTTACTTGTGTGACTCGGTGGACCTCCGAATATTCAGCTGTTCAAAAGATAGTCACACTCACTGATTCCCAGGGCACAGAATTGATGAGTTCTTAAATGTCCCACATTTGATGTCCCACTAAGCAAATTATCTCAAAGAATATGTTGATGTTTTGAAATCCGTGGCTACTGCACTTGACCTTTTGCAGGGAGAACAAAAGTGTTACCTTGGCATTGTGATACTCACATTGTTAACACTGAAAAGAAAGCTCCAGGAGATGTCGAATAGTTTTTCTCTGATATCATTGACACAACTGTCAAGGCAGTTGAATCGCGGTTCAAACAGCTGTTTGAGAGTGTTGATGCAAAATTAGCCACGACAGCTTCACAGTTCAGACACTGGTGGTTACCAGAAAGTGAAAGGGATCCTCTACATGCAAAGCTAATTGATGAGCTTTCACAGTTACATCATATTGAAGTTCTTGCTCCATCTGACAACACTGGAGAAACTACCCATGAGGGAGAATTCTTTTCATATGGACCTCAAAGATCTGGCAGAAATGGATGACAGGAAGCCGTTGAAGAGGTGCAAAAGTACCTCTGTTGTTACCCACATTCTTCTTTTCTTTCTTCTTTTGTGTCCAGCAGAAGAAAGAAACTCATACAGGCTTAGAACTACTTGAGGCTGAGTGAATGATGAAAATTTCATTTTTGGGTGAACTGTCCCTTTGAGCAGCAATGTCTATGAAGTGTTTCTCACATCTTTGACTTACTGTGGCAATGTTATTGCTAGGAATTTCATGGTCTTTCTTTTTTTTTTTTTGTAATGTTGCCATTGTTTGATGTTTTTCATTGATACGGTCATATGCACTTCTAGTGTTCCGAGATTAATATTTGACCTAGCAGTGATATTCCTGTGAATTTCATGTTTTTTTTTTTTTCAATATTGGTTTTTGTAATGTTGCTGTTTTTAAAATTGACTTAATTTTTAAGTAAATATGTTTTAAAATTATAAGATGATTTTGTTTTATTCAGTGTTAGTCAACAAACACTAACAGCAAGGTATATCAGTGTTAGTATTTTAAAATGTATTAACTGTCCATACATTGCACTTTAAAAAGTTGAGGCTCTTGTTGGTGATAATGGAATATATTTTTCTTTGCATCTCAAAATAGTACAAGATTATCCTATTTCTGTCAATATGGGGTGCTGTGTGTACATTGAGGAAAAAAAATTAAATGATTTTAGCAAATGGCTGCAATATAACAAACAGTGAAAAATTTAAGGGGGTCTGAATACTTTCCGTACCCACTGTATGTGACATTAAGTAACGGTTAAATAATACATTACCAAAAATGTGTAATCTAAGAGATTATATTACTGAATACAAATTTCGTCATATGAATTGTAATCAGTTAATGATTACGAATTACAAGTAATCTACCCAGCTCTGATGGTCAACAAACACTTTTAAGAGCAACTCTGAAATCATACAATTGATAATCTGCCATATCATTTGCATCAGGTCTCTTTATTAACAGAACAGTAAATGTGATCCTGTGATATTGTCTGTAAAATATATGTTGAAATTTGTTTGCAATCTCATCTAATTATAAGAAATCGGTTTAGTTGCAGGAAGAATTTCACCATTTGAATCCCCTTCAAATTTGTCTTCACTCATTCATTTTAAATAGTCCTTGTCCACTCTAAACAATTTATCAGACTTCAAAAAGTTTAAGTTCAGCTTCACAACATGCTACGAAAATTAAGACCTAAGAGAGGAAGTTTCTGGAATACACCCCCAGGGCCACAATAGTTTGCATTTGAACAATATTTCTGATCTAGAATGGTTTCCTCTTTCCTCCACGTCCTTATGTATGTGATACAACTTTGGGGGATATATCTTCAAGATCACATGTGATGGAGTTATTGGTGCTAGAATTAACTCATGAAACATTCCACAAACCTGCAGCAAATAATGTAATGACTGGTTAGCTCTACAGGTGTGAACTAACAGAGGGAAACCCCATTTTCTGAACTTAAAGACATTTACATAATTTTGCTCATGTGTATTTTCCCACTCAAAATAAAGACACGTCACAGTGATACACTTGCTGGCCATTTTATTGATGTTATTTTACAGTGGAACCAATGATAACAGAATGAAACCAGCATTTAAAGGCAAAATTAACAAAAAAAATAAAAATAATAATAATAAAAAAATCATTTTAAGTGTTCTACATGCTATATCTGAATCTAATTCAATCATGCTCGTTTGGAAAAAATAACTTTTTCATAAAAACATACAATTAAAATAAAATTAATGACTTACAATATACTTCACCATTAACTTCATTTTAAATGTACCTTTGGTACCTCTGGTTTTCTTCCATGCAAATTTTTTTTACAATAT